ACTATAAAAAAAAGATAATATATATTGTCTTCACCACTCTCACACTCTTGCTCTTTCTATCTAAACTTGGCACAATTTAAATTCCTTACATATTTCTATTGGGAACATTCTCATAATAAACGGTTATACATTAAGAACGCTAAACCATTAAAAACCCTCCAACTGAAATTGAGCAAACCAGGAATTCTGCGTAGGTGCAGTGTATCTACGTCTATAGTTTAATTTCATCGTCTCTAAAGAGATGTGGACTTGACGGAAGCTAGGTTTGAACGTTGTACATTGTACTGCCTGTTGTGTACTGTTCAAGCCTTCACAATCATTGACAGGAAATTTAGCTGGCAAATTCCATTTGGCTTCGAACTGTATGTAGTACTCTTCTTTATTGTTTTGTTGATTGCCTCTTCTTCGACTGACACCTTCGGAGATAATTTGTACAAAGCAAACTCCATAATTTATAATATATCCTGTTTTAATTGTTTTTATTGAATAGTTTTTATTTAGTGTAATAAAATTTTATATGTTGTATAGGAGCCAGATTGGCCCTAAATGCATCGGCATCAATAAATAAATGACTGAAGCAGTATGCTGTTTATTCCTTCGAATATATTCGTAGTGTGTTATTTTATTTTTGTATAAAAATAAATTAAACAAATACAAATTTGTACATATTTTTCATAGCACAAAACATGGAAGATTAAATTTTATAAGCTGCGTTAAATATTTAAAAAGAACGGTGTAAAATTAATTTTACTTTAAAAAAAATGTATTTTTCAAAATGGCACTGGATCGTTGAAAATTTGTGAATTTCTTTTTCAATTTTTTTTTAGTACCGGTCAGTCCCTAAAGCACTCGGGTTTATGGATGGAAAATTGTCTCACATGGTGTACGTAGGTGAGCTGGATGGGTTGGAGACCGACCGTCATCACTGTGCTACATCATGCTGAACATAAAATATATTTGTGTGGTGATTGGTGACCGTTAATCGATAATTATTCAGAAATCGTGAGATGCGGCTGGTGCACGTAGGTAGAGATGTAGGTGAGATGTAGGTTTCAGAAAAACATTTTCTTTATCGTGCCAACGTTTTGATCTTTATTGAGATCATCTTCAATAAAGATCGAAACGTTGGCACGATAAAGAAAATATTTTTCTGAAACCTACATCACACCAGACCGCATCTCACGATATCTGAATAACTATCGATTAACGGTCACTAATCTCTACACAAAAATATATTGTGTTGATTGAAGTGAAAAAAATTACCACTCTCTGTTTCAAGAAATAATGTCCTTTATTCTTATCATTTGTGAAAATTGTATATTAATGAATGAAATGCTTATAATACAGAAACTGTTTTTAGACTATTATGATGGATAAAAGACAAATGGACTTCTGTGGAACGTTTTCGTAAGACTTGACATTGTGTCACTTTTCTCTACATATATCATTGTCATAAAAGTAACATATGATCATTTTACAAAAAAACGATAAACAATTTGCAACCCTTTAGTAAAAAATATATGAGGGATTTGAGATTANGAAAAACATTTTCTTTATCGTGCCAACGTTTCGATCTTTATTGAGATCATCTTCAGGGCTCAAAGTGTTTGTCTTCTATGTAATTGTGCCATTCTTCTGCACTCTAAACACGAAGAATGGCACAATTACAAAAAAGACAAACACTTTGAGCCCTGAAGATGATCTGAATGAAAATCGAAACGTTGGCACGATAAAGAAAATGTTTTTCTGAAACCTACATCACACCAGACCGCATCTCACGATTTCTGAATAAATAAAATATATTGTGTTGATTGAGGGGAAAGAAAATTACCACTCTCTGTTTCAAGAAATAATGTCCTTTGTTCTTATAATTTGGGAAAATTGTATATTAATAAATGAAATGCTTGTATAATACAGAAACTGTTTTTAAGGCTATTATGATGGATAAAAGACAAAAGGACTTCTGTGGAACGTTTTTGTAAGACTTGACATTCTGTCACTTTTCTCTACATATATCTAAGTATAAAACGTGTCGGAAAAAATCATCTGAATATTGTCATAAAAGTAACATATGATCATTTTACAAAAAAACGATAAACAATTTGCAACCCTTTAGTAAAAAATATATGAGGGATTTGAGGTTATGGGGATAGGATTATATATCTATCTGAATGACAAACAAATAATTACCTGATAAAATATTTGTAAAAAAAAAGTTCAAATATCTTGTTGGCAATCTCTTTATTTCATAAAAGTATGCTCTGAAAGCGAAATTTTAGTGTGATATATGAATATGTAATTATTTATTGTAATTGCTTACAAAACAGAATCTAATTTTAATTATTCTATATTTATTGTCTATATCATATTGTATCTGTACATTGTTAAAACGTTGACGTGCCCATACAAAAATGTATTCTTGGGAAATAAAAAATGAAATAACAATTAATAAAGAAACACCTTCAAAATACAGACTATAAAAAAATGTTTTACTTATTAAAATATTTTTTTACATTATTAAAATTTGAAATTTACTTCAGTTTGTATGAGAGATTTAAAATATGTGGCATTCTATGTTTCTTAGGCTTTCCTAAAAGAGTGAATTTCAGACACTGTAAACATAATCCAATATTTGAAATTTCAAAAGTTTTTAGTTGTGTGTATAAATAAGATGGAATATATTTTTTCAAAAATTAATATCAAGGAGCCGGTTACTTTCACTCATAAGAATGTCAGAACTGTCAATTCTAATTTTATCAATGACATGAACATGTGCATCTCACAATTCAACCGTTCGATCGATTTGTCATGGAATAATGAACGAGCCCGATTATTCAAATAGTTAAAAGTCATTTTAAAATTTAAATCATTTTACTTGAATATTATTACATTTTTGTACCCAGCGAGATTTATAAATAAAATAAATATTAATAAATCATTGTATGCAATTGATTTGCAATCGTACTGGATTATCAATCATAATACACTCCAAGCTGTTCCATGTATAAAACAACTGAAACTTTGGTCGGATGATAGGCCAACCTTGGTTCTATGCTATGTTCCAAAAACTACAAATACAATTTAATTTTTACAGCAACTATTGAAAACATATGAATTATTTTATTTTAGTTTAATTTAAGTTCTTGAATAATAAAACTCGTAAATAATGAGGTAATTATAAAAAACATGATTCTCAAAGAAAGGCGATTAAGGTAACCTTTAATTTTATTGTATGCTAATAATAATAATTTGGTAAATTGCAAATACAAGTGAATAACAAGTGATAGTTGCATTAATTGCATTGGTTTCAAAACTATTATTCTAAACTTCGATTTAATGTACCAAATCGTGTTTATTTTTTAAAATGTAATCATATCATGATTTTTTTTCAATGAAAAATAAATATATATAAGCAGATAGTATTTTCGTTTTCTTTTTACATTAATTTTTAAGAAATTAGTATAAAACTTTAGTAAACAAATTCAATCCAAAAACTACGTAATTTTTATAAAATGATATGAATAAAATTGCCACATTTTGTCGTTACTACGATTTTTCATAATAAGAGGAGTATTTTTTCTATTGTTTTATATATATANAAAAAATCACGATATGATTACATTTAAAAAAAAATATATATATATATAACAATAGAAAAAATACTCTTATTATGAAAAATCGTAGCAACTACGAAATGTGGCAATTAAGTTTATAAGGATTATGTATACATTTTTGGAAAATGGTGGGCTTAACTAAAATTTTTATAATATATAACAGTGCAACAGATTTTCCTTCAAAAAGAAGCTGTACAAAAATACACTGAAAAAAAACTGTTCTAAACAACAAAATCAATTGCCTTATTTCATTTTCAAATTGGTTTTTGTTATTAATTTATAAATAAATGGTCAATGACGTAACGGGAAATTGATATGATATCAATTATAACATATGGTTTATGAATATATATTGTTAGTTTAAACATTTTTATAATTTCGAAGTGGAAAAAATGCTTGAAATCTTGTTATAAATGATGGATGTCTTTTGATTTCTTTGCTATAATTTTATTTCGTTTATTTTTAACATTTAGTTTAAATTCAAATGTTATATTTATAATAATATTATTTACTATTAAATTAAATAATGATTCAATGTTGATTTATTGATGTAAAAACAAACATGATGGAACTCCACTGCAGCTAGAATATAACTTTTTTTAAATTATTAATATGAAATAATCGTTATGGTTAGGAAAGAACCAAATAGAACCAATAGATTTTCTCAAAGTACAAAGTATAAATAATATATTTTTCAAACTATAAAAAACTATTGTTTGCTTAATTTCAGTATGAATATAATAATTAATATAAGTTTTATTACAAAACAATTCATATAATACATTGCAAACGTGTATTTAGAACTTACAACATTCTTTCGTTCACGTAATATACAGGAAATTCTTTTATGTATTACGTACACTTATAATATATTTCATAGTACAGCAATGCATATTATATATTCATAAATACAGGTGTTTTTCATCTCGCTTCTAAAAGAAAATCGGTAATTTTCACAAAATTAAACAAATATAAAAAGATGTAAAAATAAAATATTATTGATAAGTCTGTTATCATTGCAAAATTAAATCCTAACAATTGAATATTTAAATTTACAAACAAAAAAAACAAAAACACAGCGCAACCACTAATATATTTATGTAATATTCCAGTATTCACTTCCAAGTTTACGGTTTAAAGTACCACTCATTTTACAACTAGCCAACAACCGATTTGTACTAGGAACCACGAACGTCTTCGCCCCACGGTCTCGTTTCGCGGAATGCGAACGTTGGACAGATCTGGCTTTGATCCAAATTCTTGGAGGGATAAAAACCAAAAGAAGGGGTGGCCGGCTTGAGAAATTATTCGCGGGGGAGCAAGTCCTTGAAGAACTAGAGCGGGAGGCTCCTCTCACTCCCAGGTATATATACTCATCAACGATCTTCCAACGGTCATCTCACTCTTCATCCAACAACCGAGCAGGACCATGAAGACTATCGTGAGTACAACACACCGAACTGAGCATTATAATGTTTATAACTCTTTTAGATAAAGATTTTAGAAATGGGTTAAAAATTTGATTTTAAACCCGATAATAAAAACTATATGAATTTTGTCATGTAACCTCGATCTTAGTATATAATACAATAAGAATATGTACGATAAATGTCCAACAACACATCTAAAATATCATCATTTTTATTAATAAATTTATAATAATAAATAACTTTGATTCAATACTACAAATACTTAATTAATTTTAATAACATATTTATTATAGTTTTTTAATTGAAACTTTTAAAAAATCGTTTTGAAAAATTCGTTTTGGATAAAAATTTCACTCATTTTCACATCATAAAATTGTTTTGACACTCACATTCTTGCAAATTCAATACTTTTTGTACTAATCACTAGTTTTTATAAATTTGTTTCCTCTTAACTTCTGCACATTTGGTTTTTAATATCTGTATGAACATTTTGAAAATGGGCGTTTATGATTTGCCAAAGTAATAAAAATAAATGGTTTTGAGATTTTGACAATTCTTCTTGAGCATGTTGGGTTGCTTAAAGGTTTTTTTTGTTTCGATTTAGTTCATTTTTTTTTATATTTCTTTCGCAGTATAGAACCTACAAATTTGAAATATTTCAAAGTATAAAAGGAATGAAAACATAAATTTTTGCAAAGTTTTAGGATTTTGTTATATAATAGAAAACATAAAATAAATTTTCTCTGGATTACCAAACATTTTGTTGCCATTTTCTTTTTCATAACTTGTCAAATTTGTCCCAATCTAAAATTGTTCTTATATTATATTATGTTATATTTCGTTTTAATTATATACGTTTTTTTAAATTTATGCCCTCTTTAAGAAATATGAACTTTTTTCAAAAACAAATGCTCCTCAGCAAGAATTCCTTTAGAAAAATTAAGTATCAAAGGAGTTTTACCTTTAAAATCTATTTTAACAGTAAAAATACAGATTTTCTCAAATTTTACTCTAACAGCTAACTTTTCCTTTGTATTTTTTTTACATAAAATCAAATACATTTGTACATTATATTTAAATTTTAAATCATTTTTTAAAATAAACCACAATATATTTTTTAATGGTACAAATTATGGTTATTCAGATATCGTGAGATGCGGTCGGGTGTGATGTAGGTTTCAGAAAAACATTTTCTTTATCGTGCCAACGTTTCGATCTTTATTGAGATCATATTCAGGGCCTGGGATTTACAAACAATGTTTACATTTAACAAATACATTTAGGATGGTGAAAAGTGAATTTATACAATGCAAAATATAATTTATATTGTATAAATTCACTTTTCCACATCCTAAATGTATTTGTTAAATGTAAACATTGTTTGTAAATCCCAGGCCCTGAAGATAATCTCAATAAAGATCGAAACGTTGGCACGATAAAGAAAATGTTTTTCTGAAACCTACATCACACCCGACCGCATCTCACGATTTCTAAATAAAAATGCTTGTTAATGTTAATTTTAAATTTTTTCTTATCGGTCACTAATCTCTACACATTGGTACAAATTATTTTTTTTAACTTTATTCCTACGACTTAAAAATGATATTTGATTGACTTAATTCTCAGTATTTCACAAAAAAGTCATAAGTTCATTTTATGCAAAACATTAAACATACATCATTAAGCGAACATTGTCTTGTTGAAAAATTTCCTTGGAATTGAAGAAAAATCCTATCAACATTAGACATGTTGTCATAAAATGAATTTTTAAAAAATAATACATGATCTAGAGAATATGCCATAAAATCTGTTTATTGGATTTTATAAATTTTTAAACGGAATGTAGCAGTTATTCATAAAATAAAACTGTCTCAATCAGACATACAATGAAAATGCAATTTTAACTTTCGATACATTAGAAAATATGCAATAATTAATAATGCATAATAAAGATTGGATTTTAAGTTTTTGAATAATTTCAGTTTAATAAAACATCAATATTATGTAGAACCTTAAAGGTATCTTGCATCTTTTTATCCGATTGGGGTATCAATTTTGGAGATCTCGACAAATGTTAAGAAGGCACTAAGGTAGTTAAACTGCTTAATTAGGTTGTGGAAGCCACTAATTACTTCCCATAAATTGCCCAGAGTTTATGCTTCAGTTAAAGACAAAATACAGCAGTAAAGACAGGTCTAAAATGCTTAACTTTTGTTTTTCTATTCAGAAATATAGAAAACAATCATAGAAGTCTTGTAGTGTGTCAATGAAAAAACGACTGGGTGATATTACCCAACATTTGGTTTGATTGTGTTTTCCTGATACTTATTGACGGTCACTGCTGTTATGTGAAATTATTTTAGTTATGTGTATGTTCACGATTGAATTTTTATTTCAGGTATTTATCAACTTGGCCGTTTTGGCAGTTGGCTCTTTCGCAGCTCAGCTCACGTCGTATCTTCCTCCAAGGGGCTCCTCGGGCTCTGGAGCCGGTTTCGTTTCGGCTCCTCATTTTGGAAGCGGCGGTGGAAGCTTTTCTGGAGGCGCAGGCCATTTTTCAGGAGGTTCCGGTGGCTTTTCCGGAGGAGCCGGCGGTTTCGGAGGTGCGGGTGCTGGTGGATTCCGAGGTCCGTCCGGTCCCGTCATCCCAATCCTGTCATACCAAAACAACCCCAACCATGGAGATGGATCTTACTCTTATAGGTAATCTCATTTCATACTTTCTGTTGTGTTACCGGAAAAGCATCTTTATGTTCTTGTTCTGATGAATGTGTCTTTTCACATCCAGTTTATTGTTTTATATAAGTTGTTCTTTTTAAAATCATGCGTGAAATTTAAAAATGTCACAACTTCGGAAACGGAAGACTTTACCCCCCGGCTAAATTTTAAATCATGTATAGTCAGAAATGCCTACTTGGCGTGAACCGGTGATAATTATTGGATAAATCACGGATGATGGGTCGACATCCTGGGCCTAAGGAGATCACGACGAGACCTTTCGTCTAAATGTCTTCGACGATCGCAATAAACACGATGCCCACGATGCCCGCCGTGTGTGAACGAGTTGATTGGTTCACCTTTCCGATTTACAACAGGGGTACAAAAAACAGTAACAACCGTTTGCGGACACGCCCGGGGGTGAAAGGGTCGCCCGGGTCACGAGGCCGATATTTCACAGGAGGAATGTCGCAATATTGCATAGTTTTCCTATATCTTCCTTTAAGGGTACCTCGCATCCAGCACTACCCTTGGGATATTTTCTTAAAACTTATTTTCCATATCTAATATGAATATATTAGTTTAAAAATCAATTTTGACATATTTTCGTTGAATTTTTTAATGTAAGAAAACAAATATATTTAGAAGATTGTGAATTAATTAGGCAGTAGATTTGTTTAAAAATATTCAACTTACAATTACTTAATTTTTTAATTTTGGTTTATCAACTATGTATTAATTTTTCTCTAAGCTAGGTTTTATTAATCCATTGGTACTTCACTTATAAACTAATACATTATCATTTTATTTCCGTGGAGTCAAATATTTTTTTTTAAATCGGACACACAGGCATCAAATCAATTTAAAACTTAATGGTCTAAACTTTGTCTTAGTAATCATCCTGAAAATTGTAAACTCAGTTCGTTTAAGACTTTAACAAAAAGTCAAGCAAAAAAACTTGTGTACTTTTTGATCATGTTAGTATGCTCATCATACTAGACTTCGCGAACACAAATTATTCACTGAAATGTCTCACTGAACAAAACAGTGATGACAGTAGATCATGCAAACGACAGTATGATCACTTCGATCGTAGTTTCTTCAGAAGTGGATCATAGTTTTCCGTAACTTTGCTAATGATTTGTCTTTTTTTGCAGCTACGAGACCGGCAACGGAATCAAGGCCCAAGAGAGCGGCCATCAAACCGGCCCCGAATCCCAAGCAGCCCAAGGGTCTTATACTTACACCGGCCCCGACGGACAGACGTACACCGTAACTTACACCGCGGACGAGAACGGTTTCCAGGCCCAAGGAGCTCATCTTCCGACTCCTCCTCCGATCCCAGAAGCAATCCTTAAGTCCCTTCAGGCCCAAGGGATCTCCGGATACCCGGGAGTCGGCGGATTCCCAGCCCCTGGCGGATTCCCAGGCTCTAGGCCTTCACCGTCTTACTCCCAATCATCTGGATACCATTATTAATTTGCTTTTTATTATTTACCAACGAAAATACGCTTTGCAAACTGCTCGGGACGTGCCAACGCTTGAGTGTGATATAGTATGTAAATAAGAGTCTTATAATTTTGTATACGAGTTTTGCATTATTTAGTTTTCTTTGACATATGGAATAAAGCATTTAAAACACGTATTTTATCAGTTTTTCTTTATTTCACCTACAAATTCCGATCATAATTTTCAATGGACGAATTTGATGTGAGGCCAACTTCCCATAAACGATTTAGAATCGTTTGTGTTGATGAAGTCCTTGCCAAAACATGTTGATTTCTGTCATGCGTGGCACTCTCAACACGACACGCAAGAATGGCACAATTACGCAGAAAACAAACACTTTGAGCCCTGAAGATGATCTCAATAAAGATCGAAACGTTTGCACGATAAAGAAAATGTTTTTCTGAAACCTATCATACCAGACCGCATCTCACGATTTCTGAATAATTATCGATTAACGGTCACTAATCACCACACACATCTTGATTTCATTTAGAATTTGGGGGCCCTATGGAAAGAGTTCCGTCTTGCAGTAATGGTAATATTTCTGTCCTCCCTTAGGGACTTAAAGCGCTGAGATCCACTATCAAGCGTCCTTTTGGCACTTCCAGTTTCTCGGAATCGGGCTGAAGCCACCATTTCTCAGAAACGCCAATTGCCTCTGCGATATCCACTTGCCTGTAACCTCAATGACTCATTCTCACAATAATTTGCGAACTTCTGGTCCAATATGCAACTGGACTAAAATGGAGAAAATACGAGAAAAGGAATTAGAATGGAGAAAAGTGCGTTTGTTTACCAAATGAGTAACATTCATGTTTACTATTCTTAAGTAAATCCATTATAAAAATGAGGATTAACTTTTGTTTGATTTTGCTTTTTATTTTCTATTTTATGTAAAAGTGAATGTTGTGGGTTAATGATAAAATAGTAACCTAATGAACCGATTTCGATGAAACTTTCACTTTTTATTAGTGGCGGGCAGACGCTGAGAATATAAAATCGGCATATTTATACTGGGCATCATAACTTACAGAAAAAGGGAGATTTCAGGAATTATTGTCGTACACGGGGTAATTAAACTTTCCAAATTCAGCCCTAGTTATACTGGGAATGGATTCGTGGTGGCGCGTGGTGACGCCCCTGGCGGGAACTTAGACAGAGGATGTCTTCTATTTGTGACCTTCGTGAAGCTTGCGTATGGCCAGCATAATTACCCCCGGCCTCACGGGAGACGTTGCGACCGGACGACATCGAGTAAGCGTTGAGGACGCGATGATCATGCTGAATAGTCCCGCGAATGCGTGAGTAAGCGAACGGAAACGGATAGTGAATCGGTGTCTCGGACTCGAGTATGCTTTGCAAGTTGTGCGGATGATCGGTGTGGTACCCTTGGGGAAGCGAAGGATCGGACCACTTAGGCTGAGCCTATGGCGTTCCTCGAATGCGCATGGCAGGTGTAGGCTGAGCTCGATAAGAGACTTTACCGTAGGCGGTGCTCATCTAGGGTGTGGTTAGCAATTCCACTTTAAACTAAACTGCGGCCGGGGCGTTCCCGGAGGTTTCTACGCTAGGGGAGCCCCTATACTCAGGGAGAAAGAGCGGCCTTCTCTATCTAGGGAGTACGCGGGAGAACAGGCTGATGTATTTCGGTGCACAATGCGGGCCCTACATTCGGAATGGACAAGCGGAGAGCGAAGTTGTCTCGACCCTTAGGGACTGGGGCGCCTCTACACCAATGCTGCGGCGGTAACACCATTCCGTCGTATGCGGAGGTACGTCAGCTCTCATCTTGAGAATCAAAACGTCCGATAAAGCCAAAGGCCAGGTGCGGACGCTAAAGATCCTCTTGTCTTGTTGACGATGAATTCTCGGGAACGAACCATCCACATTCACAAGTGAAATCTTGAGGACAACCGTTACCCACTATGGAGATACTGAGCACTTCTCCCCCTGAACGCTTCAGTGTGGGCGATGTGGCCTTTGTGAAGTAGCTGGCACCCGAGAGGGCGAGTCTGTAAAGTCTTGGGGATTCCGGTCGCCCACCTGAGCGCACCAATGTGGAGAATGGTAACCTCAGATTGAAGTCCCAATCCCACCAGTGGGTCGGGAGGCAACACAGGCTCGGATTCACCTCCTCGAGATGACTGGTCGGGACAGTGCGATTCGTTCGGCTCTTGAACGGCCATCTCATCTCCTTCATCCACCCAGGGGAGTCATAGCCCTCTTAATGTGGAACTACGGCGACGATGGCTGGTACAGTGTGGACAAGGCGGGAGGCACTGAAAAGGTGTACCTCGTTCATTCCCTTTCTCAATCCGGGTTCCTTCTCTCTTCTCTGCGACCTCTCCAAACCCTTGATTACAAGGGAGTTTTCCAGGCGCAAAATAACGGTGCAGCCTTGAGGACGTGACAACCTCTCTAAAGCACAAGCTGGATTCTTGTCGGCCTCCGGACCGTCAGCGGACGGAGGGCAGGGGTTTATCCCAGGCACACGAGAGTTAGGGTACCAGATCCGGTCTGCATTGACGGGGGGTGTATAACCATCTGAACTATGGGGTAGCAGAAAGTATTCCAAGTTCAACCCTGCTACATCCGAATGGACTCATAGTGGCTTAGTGGCGATGCTCCTGGCGAGAACGTAGTGTTCGTTCGCGGAACAGAAACAAACCTGTTGCTCGTGAGTACCGTTTGCGGTTTCCTTCCGAGGGCAGTTGTTTGTAGAGAGTCCTCTAGGGGGTGGTTAGAAATCCACTTTAAACAAAACCGCGGCCGTAGCGGATCCGGAAGTTCTTACGCTGGAGGAGCCCCAATACTCTGGCAAATAGAGTCGGCTTTTCTACCTAGGAAGCCGGGAGGACGACCCAGCATTTCAACTACCTGAGGTTACCCTTTCCCGTGCGGCACACGGTCTGATGCTTAATACAGCCCCATCCACTCGGAATGGAAAGGCGGAGAGTGAGGGGCCGGGGCAGCTTCTACACCAAAACTTGTGGCTGTAACAACCATCCAGTCACGAGCGGAGGTGCGTCATCTCTCATCTTGAGAATCAAAACGTCCGGTAGGGCCGAAAAGGCTAGATACGGACGTTAAGATCCTCATGTCCTTTTAAGGGCTCTGAGTAAATACGGGAAGCCTTCGGCACCCGGTTTGATACACGTTTCCCATTTCTTTCAAATTCTCATTTGGAGGCGCTAGCACTCTATAATCGAAAAAATTTGGTTATAGTCGCAAAAACAACTGGATTGGTTTCGCTGATGTAAAGATAGGAAGATACAAACTTCACCGTTGTATCTTTATTATAGGCAGCAGTGGTTTAGGTGGTAGGTCTACGAACTACTCGCATGTGGCCTGAACGACGACCGTTCCACTAAGCCAAACCGTCATATTTGTGAAAAATGCTCCAAGTGAACATGTATTTAGTGTACAAAGATAACGAATGCTAGGATTCGCAATTTTTTCCTGTGTTCTTCGGTACATTCTTTCACTTCTTTCCTTGCAAACTTTGTTAGGAGGTTTATGGATTGTTTGTGTACAATGAGTGAATTCCATTGTTCCTTCATTTTCTTTTTATCCTTCTGTCTGAGGTATTCATCGATTGTGTGGATTCCTATGCCTCACAAGGGTTCTGGTCGTATCAGCGGTATAGCAGCCCCTTTTCTTGCTGGGGTGTCCGATTTCTCGCTTCCTTCTACTTCCTTATGTCTTCTACGTCCTTATGTCATTACGGACACTTACTTTGGGCCAAAACCTGTGTGTGTGACGGGTATACAGAGAAAAGTGGATCGACGTGTCTCACCTAAATGAAAGCAGGCTGTTCGAACATGAAATGTGATAATAAATAGCAAACTAATTGACGAAAAACCAATTGCACCATTATTTTCAGCGTGAAAAACTCTTTAAAATGATGTGTTATAATGTATAGGGTTGTATTAAATTTTTAAGTTGAACTGGGCCTGAAATACCCTGTATAACTTTTCTCCAAAAAAAAGTAAAGTTTGAAACTAGAATAAAAAATATTAAACATGTACTTTTTTTTTTATAGCGTCATTGGTTCAAGAGAAATTTAGCTGGGCCATCTGAAAAGGACACCCTGTATAAATAATTTAAACAATTCCCAAAATAACTATCTGAAATCTATTGAAATATCGAACAGTTAAAGCTTAGAATAGTTGTATTTTCTATACAAGCTTGAAACAAGTTACACTAAAAAATAATGTACCTGTCTATTTGGTCAGCTCAAAATATATTTATATATGCAATTAGAAGCATATCGGTATTATCAAAATGTGAATTTTATTAGTAAGAGTACAAGCATTAGCACCTAAAAATTCTCAAAAAAAAACTTTACATTACATTATATTTTCAAGGAAATCTTTTGTATTTACTATGATATCATAGTTGGGCCAAATGGCGTACGAATAATTAATAACCCAACGGTTAAGCAGGTGGAACAATCATATTGCTAGCTATGTGCAAACTTGCACCTTAGTCAAAATAATTTATGTCGTATGACTTGATTCGGTGAGAGGAATAAGGTCAGGCCGGGTTCATGATGAACTCTTGGCCCACAGGTAAAAACCGTGGAGTTATTTTATTTTTAATTTAAAACCCTGTTTACCCAAGACGCCCACTTTATAGAGAATTATTCGCCCACCTACGTCAAAAACCGGAGCGAATCGTGTCTCAGTGTTGCCAGGAACAAAGACGACTCAAAAGCAACGAAACGACGTCACGGAGGGTTTTAAATTTCAAATTAGGAATTCTGAGCGAGCCCAATCCTCAAAGGCAGTCGAGTTCAGTTCCCATAGACTGGCTAATTGCTTTAAAAGTTTTATAGTGACAACATTACAAGAAGTTTTTAAATGTCTGCCGTCTTTCAAGTTTTATGAAAATCGTCGGTTGGTAATAACTAGAGCCCGGATTTATATTCAATAAAAACCCTCAAATATGCCGTATAATTTGTACTAAAAATATAAAAAGAAGAAGGTTGAAAGTCACCGAAATTACCGATTAATAATTTCACTATCTCTTTTGACGGGACATATTGTTTTTGGTCTAATACATATTCTTTTTGAAGCAAATAGAACAAACAATTTTCAATTAACCCAAAATAATATAATTTAAAATACTATACCAAAAAATAATTGAGCTTAATTAAGTTCATGATCTGAACTAAAATTGATAATGGACATATCAAATATAATTTTTGTGAAACTACACCGTTTACAGCTCAAAACGTACTTAGATAAATTTCGAAAGAGTCTTTTCCACATCAACAGAGGAGAGGGGAGCATACTTAATGCTTTAACATTAATTGTAGTGCATTATTGCGTAAACTGATGGATCATAATTATCTTAAAGGCAATATACAAAAAATGTTAAATTACTTATTTACTATACTTCAATAAAAAATGTTATAAAAATTAGTTGTCGTTTAAAGTAACTTGGATGGTATAAATTACCACAATGCTATATCCAAAAATTAATTTTAACAATCCCAAAATATAATATTGGAGTTGATCAAGCAATTATCTCAATAATGAGACTTATTTAAACGTTTGCCATATTGTAGGATTTAAAAAAATTGAAATAATTGGATTAAAGTCTTAAAAAACGTTAAATGAGGAAGCATGTAAGAAGGAGAGAGACTTTGATAGAAAACGAGAGTGAGAGAGAAAGAGAATGTGAAGAGAAAGTCAAGGGAGAGTGTAATAGACGAGCAGAATAAGAGTAAAGATGTAATAGAAGAAAGCATAAAAGCATATATACAGGGTGAATTGCTACTCGTGCTACAAACTTCTCCAGTAGATTCTTCACCCTAAAATGAACAAAAAAGTTCATATTGTCCATGGTCCGATNCCCATTTAGTATGTAATGCTTAAGAAGTTTACAAACAGCTAGAAGGTCAAGGAAGAAAGACCCAATAAGTCTTTTATTTACACAATTGGAATTAGGATTAATACCTAATAAGATAATGGTGTTTACTCACAACGAATGAAAAGATTTGAATTTTGTTCAATGTCTAAAGTGTACTCGTGCAGTTAACAAAATTTGTGATAATGTCTACATTTTCGTATGAAGAGTATGCATATATGCTTGTTATGTTTTTAACACGCGAAAGACCTGGAAACGAAGTACAAACCAGCTATTTGTAGGCCCTTAAACTTTCCTCATTATAATGTAAAACTTACCAAAAAATCCACTCATAATTTTTATGAACTCATCAGCATGACCCAAATATTTCTTTCCATCTGTAATCATTGAATATTACGCTTTTAAAGCATTTGTATCTTACTGAAATTGGTGTTGGTGATGTTTAAAATATTAGTTAAAACAATTAGAATTATTATTAGATGTCTTAAAATTTTGATTGTCAAAGCACACTGAGAACTGTGTGAAATTAATCAAACTTTTTTATTCAGAACCTCTTTATAGCCTTGACATGGTGCGATACATACTTGATCTTTGTTAAATGATTTTTAGTAGATTTTCTTCAATAATCAAGTTTCTATCTAACAGCTGTTAAAAAATAGATAGAAACAGTTCAACAATAGCAGAGATCCCCAATGATTAAATATTTTGTGTCCAGATTGACAAGAAAAAAACCTGTTAAAAAAAAAAAAAAAAAAAATCATTGCATTGTATTTCAGGCGCAATTATGTCTATGAAATATTGGGAAATGGAAGTGCAAGAGGACATATTTTCCATGGTCATGCCTTTAATAAAGCAGAGCATTGAAGAGTTATCTCCGACGATGGATTTATGGAGTTCCTGCTTTTCAAGAATATTTGTGAGTAGTTTTGTCGTTACCGTTAAATTCTATAACCTCAAAAAATCTATGCACAGATTACAATTTGTTTTCCCTTTAATACGAATATTTTAGTTGTTTCTTGTTTATACATTCGTTAAGATCCCAGGTGACTAGAGGTTGTCTTGCCTTATAATTAAATAATAAAATATTGTAGTAGTAAACCATTAGCAAAGTTTAAAAAAAAATGTCACCACCTGTGTATTAAGTGGATAATGTTATTTCTAGCATAACCGTGACCCAAACACAATGGAAAAATTATACAATTATTTAAGTGATTGGACTCTGCATGATGTTACCTTTTCTACAGTGCTGCAAAGGTATTTTGGTGTTAAACATGTTTTTGTTAAATCAGTTGTTATTTAGAATAACAAGAATAACAATAAATAGAAATGGCCCCAAATATAGAGCAAGTAGGGGTAAAATGTTGAATTTTGCCCTAGCGCCTTGGGCTAGACCTAACAATCCAAACTGTGCACAAGAAATAAAGAAAAATAATGAAAGGTGCACAGATCTATTTGTTCAGTCCGGCAACTACAGACTAACAGACCTTACATTATACAATAAATGGCACTTTTCATACCACATTGAGTGAAACTTAAAAAAATCCTCATCTGGTATTTTCTTAAATATTCCACCAGCCATTCAATGTGCCATGATGATACATTCAAGCTTATATTTTTATTTTTAAGATTAATACTGTTTTTTCAGAAAAACCCATTTTTTGTGCCAATCCATGTTATCCAATCATTGGAAGCTTGCAGAATTGAACAAACATATTTTAACAAAAGTAACTCCGTTCTTAGATAACCCTTATCAATCCTTTCGTGAGGCGATTGCTAAGTAAGTATTTACGTTTAATTTGTAATATAGAATTTTTTTAATGATAAATATTTAATCCTTAACACCACACGATATGGCTTGGTTCTCTCAATGAATACATTTCTTAAACACTTTATTTAATAACCAATCCCAATTATAGTTTTATTCTGTCAAATTAACCCATTTTAATTGTAATTTAACTTCCTTCAACCTTCAAATTAACTTTTTTAATTTTTAATAAACAATATTCAAATGAACCTTTTTTCATTTCAAAAATGAACTTTTTCAAACTTTAAATTAACGTTTTTTAATTTAAAATTAACTTTTTAAACAATCAAATTAACATTTTTTAACTACAAATTAACACTTTTTAATTTCTGATTAACTTTTTAAACCTTCAAATTTTTGTTTTTTACATTTAAATTAACCTTTGTTAATTTCAAATGATTTTTTAACCTGGAAAATATCCTTTTAATTTCAAATTAACAATTTTTACCTTCAAATTAACCTCCTTTAATATCATATTAACAGTTTTTAACCTTCAAATTATCCCTTTTCAAATTAAAATTGACTTTTTGTATCTCAAAATTAACCCTTTATAATTTCAAACTGAAAGTTTTTTAACCTTCAAATAAATCTTTTTCATTTCAAATTAACAGTTTTTAACTTTAAATTACTTTTACAATTTAAACTTAACATTTTCATCTCCAACTTAACCTTTTTTAATTCCAAATTAAAAGGTTTTTTCCTCCAAATCAATCTTTTTTTCATTTCACATTAAACGTTTTTAACATTCAAATTAACTTTTTTAATTTCAAACTAACAGGTTTTTACCTTCAAATTAACATTTATTTACCTTCAAATTAACCCTTTTTGATTTCAACTGAGCCTCTTTTATTTACGAATTAACTCTTTCTTTAAAACATAAAAAAAAGTAGGAAACTGTATGAAATTTAAGAATAATAAGTAAAATTCCCACATTAAAAAAGGGCTTAGGGAAAAGGGCAAAAAGTCTACTTTGATTGAGTCTAAAATTTCTAGCATTGTGTAAATTCACTTTTTTTCCTTGTATAATTTAAACAATGTTTATAAATCCCAGGTCCTGGAGATGATCTCAATAAAGATCGAAACGTTGGCACATTAAAGAAAATGTTTTTCTAAAACCTACGTCACACCAGACCGCATCTCACGATCTCGAAATAATCATTAACTAACCAAACACCACACAAATCTGTTTTATTTTTAAAACTCCGTCCTTCACAGGAAAAAATTGATTCATGGATATGTTACCTAACCCTAAATAGCGCCCAAAATTTGTGTAACCAGCTCAAAAATCCTTCTTAAAAATTAAATTTATAACAGTCAATTTTATTAATAAGATAAAATTGTACATAGCTAAAAACCTGCTTTGTTTTAGATTATTGTATATCATATTTCTACCTGATGTAGAATTTAACAATGTCCATTCGACAAGATCGCCTCATGCTGCTCAATTTTTTAATGATGTCCTCCTACCAAGATTGAAATTCTTAAATTCACCGAAACAAAATATTGGTAATTATAATAAAAATTACAATTGAGATATTGTTAACATAATTTTAATACATAAATGGGCACTCCATGACAAAATTATATGTTTATCATTTAGTTGATGGGAAATTGGTATTATATTCTTGTAAATCATTTACGATTTAATCTGTTTTGATTATTGCAGATGATGAAGAATACAAGAAGAATAAACTTCTCCTTAAGACAGGTTTGCTTTTTTTCCAATAATAAATATTTATAAGTTGAACAATTACTTAGTATTATCTTTCTAGTAAATAATAGATGGTATTTTTTTCTGAAGCTTTTATCTTTCTTTAGTTTAATTTATTTATTGGGTTGTCCGGAAAATAATGCAGGATTTTAAGTTTTCATTAAAAAAAATCTATATAAAATATTNGAAATTATTTTGATTAAAGAACATTGCTTTAAAGTAACTAGTTTCTTTTTTTTTGTTTAATACCAAAATCCTGCATTATTTTCCGGACAACCCAATAGTTGTAATTAAGGTGGAAGTGTGCCAATAGATATCCTGTAAGCCTGGAAATTTTCAGCTTATTCCACCAGATTTTTCACCCTTTTTGTTTAAAAGAAAGATAATCTACAGAATCTATGAATAAAAAATGTATTTGAAGTGAATATTTTTTGGGTGAAAAGCAGCTGAAAAAGGCTAAAATCGGCTGAAACCACCAGTTAAATCTGCTCCTAGATCTCCCACCAGGGTATATAATAGGAATGATTGTAATACTCGGTCTCTGTTTCCGTAAGCCCTCCACTCCTGTAGTTATTAACTTTTAATACAGAAGGTAATTTTTCCTCTGCCTGTGTAGTTCTGCTTCTATCCTAGTCTCATCCCCATAATCCTGACATTGGTTATCACATTAGTTCGTTGACCATATCTTGCGAATTTTTGATTCTTTCAAGCAGATTTTGGCCTTTCCTGCTGAAAAGAAATATTTTGGACAAAGGATAGCTGAGAAAAGGCTAAAATCGACTGCATTCACCAAATTTTAGTCCATCCTCAAAAGTACCAAGGCTGTGAGCAGTGACAGCTTTGTGAGTGCAATTTTTGGTCATTTTTACTCCTAAAATGTTTTTTTCTTGGCTCTTGGGGGCCAATTGGACTGAACCCTCGGAAATGTGCCTTATATTTTGACCTAGTATCATTAAAAAAATTTCATTGAAATCGATGATCCCACAATCATAGCCTTCCCTTATTAGTCTTGGTTCTCAAAAATTCTTGAATTTTTTGCTTGCATCATTTTCCTAAAATGTTGGACTTAAATCAATGTGTTAAAATCATTTCAAAAATTTAAGTGCATAATCTGTATTTCAAATTTTCAGTTTGCTGTTGGTTAAACATGGCATCCTTGTGTCAGAGAATTTGGCCTGAGGCATACCAATTGGTCGGCATTTTGTGCCAAACAAGACGGAACGATTTGAACTCTGAAACATCTGTATTGTGTACAAAATCTTTGAACTTTTTGGCAAAGAACGTACACACCAAGTCGCATTTTCTAAAGACATTTGATTATATATACTTTGTTTTTACAAATGATGTAAGTATGGACAAATTTGTTGGGGGGGGGGAACTGATGTGTTTATACTTTTTTCCTTTCAGAATTTGAGCAGCAATGCGAAGATTTCTCTCCTTCAGTTTACCCAGGTGTTTGTATTTCACAACATTCCATACTTATTCTCCGATAATAACAGAATTTCTAAGGTAAATCAATTTACACGTTTTTTTCTTCAGTATTATCAATGTTAAAAAAAATCGACAATTAGATTTACACCAAACGTCAGCAACCGAATACGGGTGTTTTTGTATTTTTTAAAATTTGATATGGAAGTATATTCAAGGTTTAAAAGTTAAAATGAGTCAGCATCTTCACACAGTGCAACACGACCAATATTGGCCTATTGTGTAATCAACATAATTTTCTAAAGCTCTTCGTAAAGCTTAAGGTTTCTTAACAGGCCCCAAAACTTTGTCCCCTTCTGGCTTGGGCTTTGCTTCTGATAGGAGTAGGAATCTCGCCTGCAGCCTTTGCAAAAACAAATGACATGTTCAGCTTCTTCCCAACAATATCTATCTTCCCTGCTGTGACAAGTCAGCCCATGTCAAAAGTCTTCCTCCTTCCTAGGGTCACTAGTTCTGATGTTAGTTTCTGCAATGAACTTTATCCCCTACTGGAATACAATTCTATTGAACTGAGAACTTATTTTTAATCCATTACTTCATGGATCTGCGTTTTTGCATTAGTGTCCTTCAGGCCTGGGTTTTTCCTCTTCCAGGAATAAGAAATTCCATTCTGCAGTCTTTGCACCAACAGTTCCACTTCTTCCTCCTGGCAATATCTTCACAGGCATGTACCTGCTGCGACGGTCTTGCCTTTTGAGTCAGCACCCTCTCAGAAGTCCTACTATGACCTAGTTCTGTCATTATTTCTGCTATGGTTCTTTAATGAACTTTTTTGCCTCTGTCCTGGAATTCATTTCTTTCAAACAGACTTACTTTTAACCTATTACCAAATTGAACTATGTTTTTTGACAATTTGGTATGCCACAAATGGGTTCACGATGCCTTGGTTGAACTTTCTTCTGCCAATTTATCAGCCTCCTTTGTTGTTCCTCGGCCCTGTAAGTCCTGACACCCAGATGAATCCAAAACCGTTCTGGACTTTACTACCAGTGCCATCTGTGTAGCTGGCTATTTTTTATTGGTTATACCCAACCTTTTTATCTTCCTGACACAGACATATTGTCCAAGACATGAGTTCTAGTCTGTTTTATTTCCTTAGACACCAGCTCCAGGACTATGCTTTCTTGGAGTTGTGCAGAAATAGTCAAAATTAACTAATATTGATTTCTCCCAGTCTGCTCCAATGGTTATAATCCACTACACATAAATATCTAAATGAAATTTATAATTTAATTCTTTTGTTTGCTGACAATTATATCCAATTGGAATTTATTTGAACTGTAAACTATTGTAGATAAGTGACGTTATTGTGAACTTTCTGTTCGATTTGGATGTTGATGTGAAGCATGCAACTAGAGCAGTTTTAAGAGATTTCTTGAGATGTAATATGTCTGATGTCCAAGTGCTTATTGTAAGTCACCAATGTTTATTTTAATTTTATTTACTTATGCTAAACAGCTACGGTTTGATTTCAGGACCGCTTTACCCAAGGATGCTCCAAACCGGTCATTAGCAATAAAAAAGAAAGCATTTCAACAATACAGGGCAATATTCTAGGACTTCTAGCTGTAATCGACGCCAGTCCATATGAAATTCCGGATTACATAGTTAATATATTGGAAACGTTGTCTCAACATTTGATGGATCCTCATCCCATACCTGTAAGTAGATTTAAACAGTTTTCCTTCCCCTCGCCCACACTGTCACAGATGATATGCTTGTTTTTCCAGAATTGGATAGCTACGGCAGTTGACAACTTTAGACACACGCAACCTAACAAACTTTTACTGATAGAGAAGGTGCCGAGTGATCTTCTCCAATTATTATCTGGTTCAAAACTGACATATTATTCATAATTCAGATATTTCAATTACAAGAAATATTAATAATAACTTAAATAATGGTGTATGTTTTTACTTACTAAGATTGTAATCTTGTTTAAATAAATTCAAATTTTACTATGGTCAAATATTTATTATTCCTTAATTTTAATTTAAAACATCAAGAATCTTTCTGCTTATTTTTTCTATTTAGTATATAATGAACAAGTTTAAGGATTTTCATTCAAGAACTATAGTCCATTAAGAACAAATTCGAATGAACTAGGTAGTTCGTGTTTTGGAGAGGAAAAAGCTGTTACACTTTTAAAGTGGGTTTTAACTTGTTAATAGAAGTTAAAAAAAATATATATATTAGTTCAGGATAGAAAAGAAGAACTATAGTTCACTAAGAACTACAGTTCACTGAGAGCTGTAGCTCACTAATAGTTATGTTTCACTAATTTCTATATTTGGAAAAGTTAGTTCACCAAGAAAGATAGTTCACTAAGTATTATAATTATTATAGTTACATGTAGTGCACTAAAAAAAGACAGGTCTACATATGTATGTAATTATATTTCGGGAATTTCCTTTTGAGGAAAACAATTATAGTTTTTAATACAATAGAAGGGACAGTAGGAAAACAAAAAGTAATGAGAAGTTGTACAGTTCACTAAGAGTTTACAGTTCACTAACAGCTGTAGTTCACTAAGAGCTATAATTCACAAAATATTATAGTTCACCAAGAATAATAGTTACTAAGAATTATAATTTTTATAGTTAGATATGGTTCACTAATAAAAGGCAGGTCTATACATGCATGTAATTGTCTTTCGTTTTGCGGAATAAATTATAGTTTTTAATACAATACAAATAGTTTTTAATACGATTACAAGGGACAGTATGGAAACAAAAACTGACGAGTTGTACAGTTCACCAAGAGTTATAGTTCACTAAGAGCTGTAATTCACAAAAAAATTATAGTTCACCAATAATAATAGTTCTCTAAAAATAGACAGGTATACATGCATGTAATTATCTTTCGGGAATTTCCTTTTGAGGAATAAAATTATAGTTTTTAATACAATACAAGGGACAGTAGGAAAACAAAAACTGATGAGAAGGTCTACAGTTCACTAACAACTTGTTCACTGAGAGTTATAGTTCACTAAAAAGAAAGACCGGGCAATATACTTATGTAGCTTGTTTTCGGGAATAGCTCTTTTGATCTAGTTCGTTCATGAACTATGCGTCTACATTAAAGATGGGCAAAACCGTTGGTCCTGAAGAATAGTTCTTCTTCATGGATAATTCGTTCAAGAACTATACATATACATTAAAGATGGGCAAAACCGTTGGTTTTGAAGAATAGTTCTTCTTCATGGATAATTCGTTCATGAACTATACATTTACTTTAAAGATGGGCAAAACCGTTGGTTTTGAAGAATAGTTCTTCTTCATGGATAATTCGTTCATGAACTATACATCTACATTAAAGATGGGCAAAACCGTTGGTTTTGAAGAATAGTTCTTCTTCATGGATATCGTTCATGAACTATACATCTACGTTAAAGATGGGAAGAACCGTTGATTTTGAAGAATAGTTCGTTCATGAATTACACACCTCTAACTAGTATCGATACTTTTTCCGTGTAAACGATAACCTTGTTGTTACATTCCGATTCCTTTTTCAGCTGTTCGCGTCGTGAACTGGCCGCCGAATGGGGACGCGTACCAATCAATTCAACTGATAAGTCGATTGAAAGAAAAAAGATCAAATGTTTATTCCAAATGAGTTGACAAGACGGCAACTTGACACAGACGTTTCCTTCGATTTTTTTTTCTCGTCGAGCCGAATATCTCCATGGTGACGATGAGCCAATTTATATTTATTTTTCGGTAACTGAAAAAAAATTGTATCTATTATTGTTATTATTTAATTGGAAAAACTGCCCGACGAGCGATTTGATGACATGGAAATTCTCAAAGACGGCTTAAAGAAGGTGCTTGCATCATTCTCGGGTTAGTTTTATAATGCAATTCAACTTTAAGAAATCTAACTTTTAATTTGATCCTTGACGTTTTTCGACCGGGTCCTTGGGCTGTGTATGCGACCTGGGATGGTGGTGGGTGAGGCTGTGTAACTTGTCCTCAGGTGGTGAGATTTTGTGAGCAACTCTCGTGCATTTCTCGATGTGGATCAAATGTTCGATTGTGGCACCCTGGTTTGCTGGGGAAGTTCAAGGGCTTTTATTTTCACATACATTTTGATATTTACATCCCATCTGATAGACCAGTACTACCGCATCTCTTAGAGGGGCTGTCATTTCGTATTATATTACTGTTTAAGTGTCACCAATGGCAGCAGCCTTTACTATTCACAATGTACATAACCGATATGACTGATCTCTTTGCTGACTACTAGTCTTTAGCAAGCTCTCTGTTAGCCACTGAGCTCTAACTAGTTATTTCAGTACAGTAGGAAAAAAACTGAAAAGAAGAACTACAGTTCACTAAGGGCTACACTGAGAGCTACAGTTCACTAAGATTTACAGATCACCAAGAGCTTCAGTTCACAGAGAGCTAGTTTCCTACCTTATTATCTCCTTAACAACATTGTATGCTCTTTGCTGACTACTAAGCTCTACTTTTCTGGTTCTTTGCTAGTTACTGAGCTCTCCTAGGGAGGCGAAACCATTCATTCTGAAGAATAGTTCTTTTTGGGACAGCAGGAAGTAAAAATGCTGCCCACTAAATGCTGTAGTTTACTGAGAGCTACAGTTTGTATAGTTTTCTACATTCCTTACCCTCTTAAAAACATGACAAGCTCTTTGCTGAGTACTAGACTATTCCTAGCTCTTCTTCCCTGGTTCTCTTCTAGCTACTGAGCTCTATTGGATAGGAAGAAACAGTTCCTTTTGTGGAATAATTCTTTTCGGGACATCATGAAAGTAAAAATAACTGAAAAGAAGAACTACAGTTCACTAAGAGCTATAGTTTCCTACCCTCATTATCTCAACAACATTATATGCTTTTTGCTGTCTACTATACTCTACTAAGCTCTACTTTTCTGGTTCTTTGCTAGTTACTGAGCTCTCCTAGGGAGGCGAAACCATTCATTCTGAAGAATAGTTCTTTTTGGGACAGCCTGAAAGTAAAAATAACTGAAGAGAAGAACTATAGTCCATTAAGTGCTGTAGGTTACTGAGAGCTACAATTCACTAAGGTCTTCATTTCACTAAGAGCTATAGTTTTTTGCTGAAGTGCCAGTTTAATAGGAGCTACAGTTCACTAAGAGCTATAGTTCACTAAAAGCCATAGTATTTCACTGAGAGCTATAACTCACTAAGAGCTATAGTTCACTAAGGACTAAAATTCTCTAAGAGCTACAGTTTACAATATTCCTTAACTCTTTAACAATGTTATATACTCTTTGCTGATGAAAGCCATCCTGCCATTTAATAACGATGCTTCCCTAGCTAGTTATAACATCAAACTCACTTTAAACGTTATCAGTGTTAATCTTAACACAACTAAATCCTCACATCAGCTTTTCTTTCTGAAAATACACTTGTCCTTCTGTCTATTTTAATGGTAAACCTGTGTCAATCTCCGATATTGTGCTCTACCTGAAAACCTTGGGCTATTTATTGATTAGGAATAAAAATAAGATGTATAAATGTACCTTAATTTCCTACATTTAGATCATTCTTGATTGGTAACTATTAGTTTAAGACTGTTGTGAAATTAAAAACATTTACTGAATCGTCATTTATTTGTGTATGTTGTTTTGTTTTAGAGACAGCAATATCAGAAATCCGGAGCTATGAATCTGAGGTCGAATATTTCAATAAATATTACTACGAATGGAAACAAGACAAATCGTATTTGACCAATCCTACATACAAGTATATTCCAGTGTTCTACCAGCCTGTAAGCATTTGTAGATTCATTTTATATTAATTTAAATATATATATATATTTTTTTTTTTTTTTACTCTCGCTAACTATTTTGCCTTCAGCCCAATGAAGAAGATGATGGATCGTTACCTGCCAAATTGAAAGAAGAAGCTCGATCACTTTTCTTACAAAGGAAGAGGAAAGCTTTGCTGGACAACAACGAGCTGAAAACGTTGTGTATTTTGTTAGATCAACATCAAAGCCCTCCGACAATGAGTGATGAACAGCTTATTAATTATGATGACCTGAAGAAAGTTTTGCAGAGGAGTTCATGGAAATGCCGGTATTAATTCATCACAGATGCTATTAAATTAGCTATTCAGACTGACAAGGGGGGGCGGCTGCGGTCATGGGGTCACCGATTTCAATGAACTTTTTTAGTGATACTAGGTCAAAATATTACATGTGTAAGGATTTGATGAAATTACCTCCAGGGAGCCGTATGTAGTTCTTTTTCAAGACTAGTTCTTTTGAATTAGTTTGTTTATGAACTACACATCTCCACCAATGATGGGCAAAACTGTTCATTTTGGGGAATAGTTCTTTTTGCGACAGTAGAAAAGCAAAAGCTGAAAACAAGAACTATAGTTCACTAAGATCTATAGTTCTATGTGAATTACAGCTCACTAACAGCTATAGTTCACTAAGAGGAGTGCTAGGTTCGCCAAACCCCTATACACATGTCTAATATTTTTCGATCTACTAACATCCCTTAAAATTTCATTCAAATTGATTGAGAGAGTTGAGAGCAGTGGCAGCTTTGTAATATCAACTTTTGGTCTTTTTTTCACATAAAATTTTTCTTTCTTGGCTCATGAGCCCATTGGACAGATCTGTCGGACACCTGTCTAATATTTGTCGACCTAGTATCACTGCACTGAAAAAATTTCATTGAAATCGATGACCCAACGGCCGTAGCCAACCCTTGTTAGTGTTGGTTCTTGAAAATTCTTGACGGCTGTACCTCAATTATTGCAAATATTTAGGACCACAAATTCCCTAGTATTTTCGGTAATAGTTCTTGTGAACTAGTTCATTCATAAACTACCCATTTCTACAAGTGGTGGACGAAGCCATTCCTTATGAGGAATAGTTTGTTTTTGGGACAGTAGAAAAGCAAATTGTGAAAAGAACTTAGTTCATTAAGACCTATAATTCACTAAGAGCTATAGTTAACTGAGAGCTATATTTCACTAAGAGCTGTAGTTGTTCACAAGAGGGTTACAGTTTACCAAGAGCTGTATTTCACAAAGAAGTATAGTTCATTAAGAACAGCAGTTTACTAAAAAGACCGGTCAATGTGACTAAATGTTGTTCATTTTAATAATTCATAATGGTTGTGTATTTTCTGTAGTGTTATTAGCAGTCTGACCTGTAGTTACTTTGATGCGAAGCCCTCGTACATCACAAAATATATTTTTCTAACTTATAATCATTAAATATTCACATTTATGCTTTTATTGTATTAAAAAAAAATGTTACAATTTTAGGTCTTATTTTTCATCTACACTCTTTGCCCAATTGCAAATCGGTGATATTTATAATAGAGTTGGCATTATGTCTCTACTTAACTATGCTATGAGGAAGACGTGGCTTCATCAGTCTCGAATCGGACTCTCTTTATATGATACATGTGGAAAAGGTTATTTAAAGGAATCAGTAAGTAAATTGTTCCATGAAACAAAAACTATTTGGTAATTAATTTGTCTTTTATTTCAGGATTTAGAAAATTACATTTTGGAATTGATTCCAACCCTTCCGCAACTCGACGGCTTGGAGAAATCGTTTCACAGTTTTTATGTTTGTACAGCTGTGAGAAAGTTTCTGTTTTTCTTAGACCCAATGAGAACAGGAAAAATAAGAATACAAGATATATTGGCGTGCAGTTTCTTAGATGACTTGCTCGAGGTAGTCTTTTATTTTTATTGTTATTATACTGTGTTAAATGTTTCAAGTCGATATAATCTGGTTATTAGTACTATGTTAAGAGTAAAAAAAATTTTCCAGTTAAGAGATGAAGATATGCCTAAAGACTTGCAAGAAGCCAATTGGTTTTCAGCACCCTCGGCACTTCGTGTTTATGGACAGTATTTGAACCTTGATAAAAATCACAATGGAATGCTGAACAAAGAAGAACTAGCAGGGTTAGTGACATTGATTTGAAACACTTTTGCCATCCGATTTATAATTTTAGAGTTATCTGATCTAAAGACTGACATCGGCACCACAGGTTTGTGGAAATGTGTGGGTAGGTGAAGAGAGAGGGGGATGTTCCTCCTCTTTGCCAGGGTTCTTACAAAAATGGCTACCAACTGAGCAAGGTATGGAGTATGCCTTTTTCATCGCTTTCCTTAACACCTTCCCATGTGTACCATACCTTTGAAAATTACACATTGTTCGTTCCTAGTCAATAGTACATTCTCTAGCATTCGCTCCTTCTTGCTTTGCAAGAGCCCCTCCTGGTCCAAGTAATGCTTCCTCTTCCTTGCTCTGTGTAGAAGGTCCTCTTTTCCCTCTGTGGACTCTGCCGCAGCGGAATGCCTCTACTGAACACTTACGGGAGGTGCTTTCTCCTAAATAATCACAAATTTTCCTAGCAACCTGATCATTGTCAATCATCAATTTTTCTGTTTTAGACTTGGCACTGGTACCCTGACGAGTGTATTCTTAGAGCGGGTGTTTCAAGAATGTCTTACGTACGAGGGAGAGATGGATTATAAGACGTATTTAGATTTCGTTCTAGCCCTGGAAAATCGACATGAACCTCAATCTTTGCAATATTTATTTCGAATATTGGATATCAACGGCAAAGGCTACCTTGACACATTCTCTCTCAACTATTTCTTTAGGGTAAGTTTATTTTATTATATTTATTATTTTAATGTTTATTTTTTAAATAAATTTTTAAAGGCTATTCAAGAGCAAATGCATAAAAACGGCCATGAACCTGTGAGTTTTCAAGATGTCAAGGATGAAATGTTCGATATGGTCAAGCCTGCTGATCCGACTAAAATAACACTACAAGATCTTTTAAACAGGTAAAAACCTTGAATTAGTCTGTTATAATTTCAAGTTAAATATTACATTTGTTAATTAATGTTTTAGCGGACATGGTGATACATTGATAAGTATTTTAATCGATTTAAATGGTTTCTGGTCTCATGAAAATAGGGAAGCAAGAGTTATTGAGGAGCCATCAGACATTTAATTAATAAAACTGTAATTAATATTTATTAAGGCATTACTTTTGTATATGTATAACTTATTTTTAATAACTTTGTTCTAATAAAGTACTTAAAAAAATAATTTCCTTCCGTATGTGAAAGTATCTGTATTTTGGACTGTCGGTCTATATTATATTACACTTATATTACATTTTTTCTTTTCTTCTCGGGAAAAAATTAATAAAACTTAAATAGTGGTGGGACAAATCGAGACAAGAAGCTCGAGAAGTAGGAAGCATTTCGCGGCCTGGAAGATCCTGACCCGGCGGCAGACACTGGGTTCGAGGCTAGTGGGCTCTGCGTTCGAGATTGGAAAAAAAGCAAGCTGCGGTCAGTTCGAGATAGACAATAGGAGTAAGAGGTGGTCTCGCGAGGACAAGAAAAGATTGAAAAAAAGAGTGTGTGATCTGTGTTGGGTGTGATCCCAGTGGTGTTCATCTGCGGGTGCGGAGGGTTCCTCCGAAGAGAACGTGCTGATCCCTGCAGACACGGCACAGCCTCTGTGGAAGAGTGATCCCGTGAGTTTGTTCCTTTCCAATTTTGTTATCAGGCCTGATAATTCGGGACTAAAGACATTAGGTGTAACTTTCGGTCTATTATTAGTTTAATTTAAAAAGAATTTGTAAATTTAGTGATAAATAGAACAGTTGTTCTTCATATTCATTTTTTTAAAATCGTAGTTTAAACCCTAAGTATAAGATTTCTTGTGTTAACGAATTAACTCCGGTAGAAAGAAGAACATCATTATTTAGCTCCCATATTATAACCCTGGGTGGAAGCGCCACTTCATCAAGAAGAAGAGAGGCAAGAAGTGCTACATCGGTCGTCTGGGGTTCAACACGGGAACCGTATCTGTGCTTCCTTTTCTCTTTCTTTTTTTATCCCATTGTTCTACTTTTTTTTTCCTGGTTTTGGTATTTATCCTTCTCCAAAAATACTGTGGTGCTCAACATAACATTTGTAAATAAACTTGCACCCCCTCACTGACCATCACTTGTCTCTCCCTTCAACACATCCCCCCCTTCTCCACTGAGCTACTGCCAACTTACATGCAGCCACAGTAAGGAAACTGAAACACTTACATGTTTGGTGATTTTCATCTAGTCAGCATTTTTAATAAAAACATGCTCAATGATATAACACCCTTCCATTATAATGTAGTGATTGCGTATCCACAATCGTGAAAGTGAGAGAACTGCACAAATTGTGAATGTAAGCCAGTCCCTGTCTTAGTATATGTTAAAAATAGCTGTAAGCCATTTCAATCATACATTGGAAATGGTCATAAAATCTGATGGGTTGCCTACCCAATAGGGAAGCATCTATGCATCTATTGCACACAAACCTGGAACACGACAGACAAATAGCCCACTAACAATAGTCACAAGATTGTAACAGGCACAGCTCATCAAGCAGTAGGACACTATAAATTTTGGAGTCATGATGGTCTGGTGTCCATTATGTCCATCGACATAGGACTAAGGGGCCGTGTAATGGAAATTCCTGAAAATTACGAGTTGTGGCGTGGCTGTCTGGGTCATGACCAACCCTGCAAGAAGGAAGGTGACTGAATCTGCCACAACAGTTTTTGCTTTTCCTTCCTTCCTATCCTGATTGGTAAGTTGGTATAAAAGGGGATGATTTGAAAAGCAAATACAGTCGATCCAAGGCTCAATTGGGGACTCAGTCAACTGTACAATTTGATCAAAACTACCAGCACTTAATCTACAGTGTCCGAAAAATTTCTAAGGGTGTTCCCTCAAATTAAGATGAATTTTATAAAATTGCCCGTCAGTTGTTCTCGGACTAATGAGGGGTGTACCTAATATTTTCTTCCATGTCTTCTTTTCTTTTTCTAAAAACTCAGAACTATTGGTTGGTTACAAGAGTGTATCTTTAGATGAAAACAATCCAAAATTGATATTTTCCCTCTTGGTATTCTCTTTGATCATATTCCACAAGGCAAGGGAGAATTGCATGATTTGATGAACTTCCTCAGGCTGGTTTCATTTTTATTTCATTGAAGAAATGTAAGAGCATTCAAGATAATTGCATTTGTATTGATAATCATGACTGTTTGTAATCATGGGGAAATTATTCACATGTTACTTACCTTGTCTATATCCTTTGTGTACTGTGATATCCAGGTCATTCGTTGCAATTCTCAGTTAAGGAAAGGGTACTGAGGCAAAAATTGTCTGGGAAAGATTTCAATCTCGGTAGTTTTTTTATACTTGTGAAGTACTGTTTGTAGGTTATGCAATGAGGATGAAGAAACCGCCATTATCTTCGAATACAATGCAGATCAACTTAAACTTAACCTAGGGTGCCAAGGTGACTCAGGAAAAAGAATCGTAGCAATAACAGTCAATGATGTACTACTTCTTAGACAATTGAACTGAACTAAGGAACAAGGAAAAGTAGAATGTCAAAAAAGGGTTCGAGATGACAGATTGACTGGAAGTATCTCATCAAGTTGGAACTGAGATATCTTAAGTACTTAAAATTAAATGAATCAAAGTTGAACTGATTTTACAGTTCTTCACTGAAGATGACATGAACCCACACGAGACCCAGTAGAGTCATCCAGTGTTGATCAGTTTACAATAAATCAATCGAGTAAAGAATAAATGAAAAGTGCATATTTATCAAGTAATTTTATTAGTACTGTCGAGGAATGGATTGATGCTGCACATAAAAATAATTGTTTGCAATTTAGAACCACAAAAATATTATTATTTTTTCTTTTTCTTCTAATACATACCTTCTTAAACCACAGTAATGGCATTTGTAGATTTTTTCTTTTATGTATTCTACTTACATTTATTTACACACACAATTATTAGCCTTTAAATGTTTATTTTGTCTGTAGTATAATAAATGTTAATTAGAGTTTTATTAGTTTATTAAGGGGGTACATTATAGAGGGAGTGAAGGATTTGTATACTGGTCAATTTATTTTGCTCTCCTTCCTTCCTCATCAAGAGTGTTGTAACCTAAAACAAAACACTTGTTTTAGTACAATTTCAATGTACGACAAATAAATAACAAATGTTACCGATTATGGTTGATATTCTAAGAAAAGTATATAGATTTTTTCTGTCAAATTAACCCCTTTTAACTTCAAATTAACTTTATTTGATAAGAAATGAAACCTTTTCAATTTCAAATTAACTTCAAATTAACCATTTTTCATTTCAAATTAACCTTTACAGATTCAAATTAACCATTTTTCATTTCAAATTAACTCCTGTTAACTTCAAATTAACATTTTTTTAATATGAAATTGACTCTTTTCAACTTCAAATTACCTTTTTAGATTCAAATTAACCATTTTTCATTTCAAATTAACTCCTGTTAACTTCAAATTAACATTTTTTTAATATGAAATTGACTCTTCTCAACTTCAAATTAACCTTTTTAATTCAAATTAACCTTTTACATTTCAAATTAATCCTTTTTTACTTCATATTAATCTTTTTTTATTTTATATAAAAAATCTAGAATTAATAGAAGAATAACTTGTTATTATCTTTACTTGTAAACTTTTAATTCTAATTGTGTTATTTTTCATATTGTGCTCTGAGAGGCAAAAAAGTGGCACCCTTGTTTTTTAGTATATACTTTCAAGCATTCTAATTTTTTTTTTGTTTACTGGATATTAAAAAATATATAGCAAAAAAATTAAAGAATATATAATATTAAATGTTGCTATGGAAAGAATGAAGAAAATATTTAATTCAGTATGGAGTATTACCTCTTCTTGTGTTGACTACCATTTCCATTTGATGTGTCTTTACGTGTTTTTATATCATACCACATCCTAAGATTTAATGCTTTAATGAAAGTGTTGATTTAAAATTAAAAAGAGTTAAGTTTCAATTGAAAAAGGTTAATCTGATGTTAAAAAGGGTTAATTGGAAATTAAAAAAGTTAATTTGATGGAAAAAATTATAACGAGTTCTTGAATTTACATTCTCAAATAATACACAAAATGAAAATTGATATATTTGAATTTGATATACTGCATTGTGATTGTCCTAGAGCAAGATTTGAAAAAAATCTATCAAATCTCTTGTCAAAACTCAATGAATAAAGTGGATTTCTCAATTTTATTTAGACTATTGAAAGTCAAGAAAATTTTATAAAAATCTTTTCATATTGTTAACAGACCAATTCCATTTTGAACAATTATTTAAATGAAATTGATTGAATTAAGGAAATAGTTTACCTCATGGCAATGTTTTATTTTGCCATTTAAATTCAACTAATAAAAGGCCAAATTGCAAATGCTGCAAGCAGAATAGTTAAAAATCAAGTTTATTTGTGAATTTATAGTAGATAAATTATATCTTGTATGAATTATAAAAAACATTACCTGGGTCATATGGTTCCATGAATCCATTATAGTTTCTTTTGCCCCAGAGGCCCTTTAGGTTTTGCCATGCTGGATCTTTCTTGCCCCATGAGCCTGTCGATAGAATAAATCAGTCAGTAATAGATAATAAAGTTATCTATGATTTTAAATTGAAATTACATACCTCTAAAACTTCCCCAATCTGCTGCTCGTTTTCCCCAACCACTATGGAGTGAAACCCACGACCTCTTTGCATCCTCTCCTTCACTTTCTTTCTCCTTAAATTACAATATAATTCCAATTAATTTACATTTAAACAACAAAACCATATAAGTTGTAGTAGTTATTGGCAACTTTTTAATAGTTGGCAAGTTTAATTAATATAATCACAATGTTACTTGAACAAGCATCAATTCTTGACTGTTTATTCCAAGCACAAGAAATACATCATTTTAGTATGACTCATTATATAATATGATCAGACATTGTTAAATTTAATTAACAATCCTCATAAAGTGCACCAACATTGTGTAATGTCATCGATACTATTTTCATAATTTTTAAATAATAAATAAAATTATAAATTAAATATAATATATGGAAGTTGGTGGTGGAGTGTCATGAAATTGAGAGCAATGTCCAATTTTCCATTAGATTGCTTGTTTACAATGCGCTTTATTTATGCAGAATTTTTATTGAAAATAACCTCAGTGCATAACTATGCTGAGGTTGGTAACATTGCTACAACCTCAGGTAACCTACACTGAGGTGTAAGTTGGTAATATTGTTACAACCCCAGATCAACAATACTGAGGTTAAGTTGGTAACATTGCTTCAAACTCGGGTAACCTTTGCTGAGGTGTAAGTTGGTACATTGCTACTACCTCAGGTAGGCAAATATGCTGAGGTTAAGCTGGTAACATTACTACAACCTCAGATAACCTATACTGAAGTGTAAGTTGGTAACATTGCCATAATCTCAGATAACCTGTGCTGAGGTGTAAGTTGGTAATATACCTCAGGTAAGCTGAGGTATAATGTAATTTGGTAACATTGCTACCTCAGGTTGGCTACAAAATGCCAACATTAAACGTTATTTGTACTTGATAAGGCAATATTCTTTAAGAATAAAAGTGGTTTCATCACTTAGTCTTTTTTCTAATTTTTTTACAGACATTACAGGAATTTAGTTAATATAATTAGGTTCATATGAATTCTTAGTTCTTCATGTAAAGCATTATCAGAGAAAGGTGGAAGGGTGAATATTTTCCCGGACAGTAAATGAAATTTAAATAACTTATTATTAGTAATATTCGTAGGATTGTTTTATCAAAAGCAAGAGGTTGATCAAACAACATTCTTAAAAGCAATTTCCGATTTATCATTCCTTCGAACTGGATGACAAAAAATGTCCAGCAGCGAGTAAACGTGGGCAATTTATAATTTGAGAAAAAAACATCAATACGAGTTCATTTTTGCTAACAATGCCGTGGAATAAGGAGAAGGGTAACATCGGTTTAATGTTTATCCAGTAATCCAAGAGTTTACTCAAAGGGCAAGATCGCATTGTGGCACTCTTTGCTACCCCCTTCTCAAGTTAAACTCAATTTTGTAACTCCCTCTATTTACTCGTCCAAGAGTAGTTGGTTAACGCCTTTTTCTTTTCTCATCTCAAGAAATTGCTATGCCTTTTTTTCTTTGACCGTCATCGATGCAAAACGCATGAATTATTACATCAGATTACAAGAACTTTTTAAGTACAAACAAATAATTTGGTTCGTTCAACCCTTTACAACCCTAAAAAGAAAAGACGGCTAAATAAATGGTTAATTTGGTTAACAAAAGCTATATCTGAACGAAAAGTTAAAATTCTGACTGTATGTTTGTATTTTTGTTTGCTTTTGATATAGTCATGTCATGACGATTATAAAAAATAAATAAATTTTTCACTTACGTCAAGACTTTTTTCTTCCCGTTTTCCCCATGCTGGAGCTTGTAAATCCTGCCAACCCCTTTTTCCCCAGCCGCCGGAATTCAGGTCCTGCCAGCCTCGCTTGCCCCAGCCGCCGGAATTCAGGTCCTGCCAGCCTCGCTTGCCCCAGCCGCCGGAATTCAGGTCCTGCCAGCCTCGCTTGCCCCAACCGCCGGAATTTAAATCTGTCCAACCCCTTTTCCCCCATGCCGATTGAAGATCTTGCCAGCCTCGTTTTCCCCAACCCGTCGCCGGGAGGTCTTTCCATCCTCGCTTACCCCAGGCGGTTGTTAAATCTTTCCATGCTTTCTTATTAGGGGAATCTTCTGGAAGATTTAACGCCGAATTGGTCTCTTCATCCTGTATCGATACGGGTTGCAATTAGAAGACATAATGTATAGGAGACAGTTTTTTTGTCCGTTCCTTACCAGAGGACTTTGGGGTCCGACGAAATCTGGAACTTCGCAATTTATTGCCACTGCGACCCACGCGAGAAAAAGTAAAGTACGCCACGACATCCTGAAAAAATTAAACCACAATTATTATATAATAGATAAAATATGAAAATACAATTATTGTCGAGAAGTAGCCTATGGAATTTTTGTAACTTGATTGAAAGTATCCACAACGGCGCAAGAGCAACAGTTCCACAACATTCAAAAGTCGTGCAGGTTTATTATGCAGGGTGTCTCATCGACCAATTTGCTCATTAACTTTAAGTTTTATTCTCCTTTTAAATTTCTTCATTACTTTTAAAATAAACAAAATAATTAACCTGTTGGTTGATTTAATTATTTATTAATTACTGTAACGTTGATTTAAGTCTACCGTAACAGCGCAGAACCAACACTTCCGCAACACACAAGTCTTGCGGGTTTAGTATGCATTGTTGCCCATGGGACAAAACCAATTTCAACCACATTCGTACACTTTTCTTTTATACACTTTTATATTTATCATTTTATTTTATTTATTTATTTTTTTGCGGGGTGAACAGAAGAACATTTATTAATGATATAATTATTTAATTGAAATGAAAATAAGCAACCTTGAAATATTTCTAACCGATTGACGTAATTTATAATAAATGGAAATTGGGAAAGATAGGAAATCATTTTAAAAAATTCACATAGAAAATCCAGTTTTGATCAAATGTGCACATTAACTTTAAGTTTTATTAATCATTTATTTGGAAATGAAAATAGCAAGGTTGAAATATTTCTAACTGATTCATTTACAATAAACGGAAACAGGGATTAAAACTAAATTTCATATAGAATGTCCAGCTTATGATCAAATCGGCTCATTAACATTAAATATTCTTCTTCTTTTAATGATTTCTTCTTTTTCTTCTTTTAATATAAACAATTAATTAATCGGATAATTAATTTATTAATTATAGAAACGTTGATTGTTTTGGCCGTAACGGCGCGAGACCAACACTTCTACAACACTCACAAGTTTTGAGGGTTTAGTATGCAGGAATTCTCATAGACCTATTCAACCACATGACACACTTTTCTCAAATATTATTCGATTAATTTGTCTCAAATTTTGCATCTTTGTTTGTATGACGAATGGTTATGGCTAATTTTTTTCATAAGATAATTTTAATTTGATGAGTTTGAACGTTGGAAAAAAATTGTAAATTTTTTCAAATCTTAAACTTTGTTTTTTCATAAACTAAACATTATTTTATGTAAATCCCTCAGCTATAGCTCTTCGAAACCATTTGCCTTATTGTATGGAGAAAAGTGTTTTTTATGCGTGACAACATGATTTTACATGAAAGGCAAAAAAAAAAAAAATCAATGGAATCGGAGAATCATTTAAATTTTTATTATAAATTTAAATAAATGACTATCGATTTAACTGTCATAACATCACTAGAAAGTTTTCCAGCTCATTTTGAATCAATTGTTTTGCATGAGTAAATCCAATAAAAGGACTCTTCAAAAATGCAAAAATGTGGTTACCCGGACCCACTATTTTTAGCCACAACGCCACCAAAAAATCACGTCGATCAAATCTCTAATGCCCAAAGGAAATTGGAGAATAGTATAGTCTCTTACCCATTTTTTAAATTTTTTAATTTAAATTAACCTTCTCTTCACACGCAAAACAAACAACTGCTTATGTCTCAAGTTAGCCACAGGCAACCCAGCAGTTGGGATTTGTTACAATTGTTTACAATTTTTTAGTACATTATAAATTATTTTAGCCACCATTAGTATTACAATTTTTAATATTGAATTATATATTTATTTATTCTCCACCAAAACAATTAAATTATTTATTTGCTTGGACAAATAAATAAATAACAAGCATTTAGTAGCTCATCCCCGGATCCCAACCGGATGCGGCCCCGTGGATCATCCTGGACACGCATGAAGTGACAAAGTTCCGGTGGGTGTTGCGATGGACCACTGCCAAAGAAAGTCACCTCTGTGAAAGCCCACAAAAGGCCAAGAGAAAGAACAGGAAGCACAGGGGTTTTAAGTGCCCAGTTATAAATATATACACATACACACTTATGAAAAGTAATTACAGTAACAATCATTTATTATTAATAATATTTATATATAATAATATTTATGCAATAAGACTATAAAAATAAAGGATATTTTTAATCGGAGAATTGTGAAAAATTGTGATTTTTATCTTAATAATGAATTTTATTATGGGCTTCTAAGAGCAGACTTATTTTATATTTAATCTTTTTCAAAATTACAGTTACTTCTATCGCTTAGGTTTGTTTATGTTTTAAAGAAAAGACTAATTTGAAATTAAAAAGGCTTCATGTTAAGATAAAAACGGTTAATTTAAATCAGAAAAGGTAAATTTGAAAGTAAAAAAGTTTAATGTGGATTTAAAAACTCTAATTTGAGTTTATAGTGTGTTAATTTACTGAGAAAAGATGTTAATTTCAAATTAAAAAGTGTTTTAAATTTTTTATAACCATCGTAAAGATTCTTGGAATTCATCGAATTTTTTGCCTTTCATGAAATATCACATTTTTTCGTATGGAAGTATGAATTTCTCCGAAATTTGTATTTTTCCACATAAAAGTTCACTTTTCCCCCAATTTTATGAATTGAACCCGAACTGATTTTCATAATTAATTTTCATAATCGTTAAGTAAGATGTTTTTAAAGTTATAGCTAAGGAATTTACTAAAATTGAAGTATCGAAGACAAAGTTTAAAGTTTGAACAAATTAATCAATTTTTGTGTCTAAGTCTGTGGCAGACTTAACAACATTATAATAGTTAATTAATAATTAAGTTAACTATCTAATTAATTAGTTGTTTATATTAAAAGTAATCCAAAAATTTAAAAGGAGAATAAAACTGAAAGTTAATGTGCACAATTGATCATAAACTGGATTTTCTATGAGAATTTTTTAGAATGATTTCCTATCTTTCCCTATTTCTATTTATTTTAAATGTATTAGAAATATTTCAAACTTGCTTATTTTCATTCCCAATGACATTATTAAATAATAATGAATGATAATAATAATGAATAATAATAAATTTGCTTCTGTTCTTCCCGCAAAAAAATAAATAAAATAAAGTAATAAATATAAAAGTGTATAAAAGAAAAGTGTACGAATGTGGTTGAAATTGGTTTTGCCCCATTGGGAAACAACGCATATTAAACCCGCAAGACTTGTGTGTTGCGGAAGTGTTGGTTCTGCGCCGTTACGGTAGACTTAAATCAACGTTACAGTAATTAATAAATAATTAAATCAACCAACCGGTTAATTATTTTGTTTATTTTAAAAGTAACGAAGAAATTTAAAAGGAGAATAAAACTTAAATTAATGCGCCAATTTGGTCATAAAATGGACTTGTATGTGAAATTTTTTTAATGGTTTCCTATCTTTCCAAGTTTCCGTTTATTGTAAATGAATCGGTTAGAAATATTCAAACCTTGCTTATTTTCTTTCCCAATGTCATTAGCAATCAATTTCCGAATGTTCTCTTTCCTTCTCTGTTTCTGGAAGCAAAATGCCCCCCCCCAAAAAAAAAAAAAATATCCCCGAAAAATATGCACCCAAAAACTTTCTAGCAGTGTTTTATAATGAAATGGATAGTTAATTATTTCTACCTATTATGGCCATAGAAAAGATTCCACGATTCCTTTGATTTTTTTTTACCTTTCATGAAACAATCCCGTTTCCACACATAAAGGTTCACTTTCCTCCAAATTTTATAAACGGATGTTTATAATTAATTTTCATAATCATTGAGACAGATTTTTCAAGAGTTATAGCTAAGGAATTAACAAAAATTAATGTATAGTTTATTAGAAAACGAAGCTTAAATTTTGAAAAAATTAATCAAATTTTTCCTAAAGTTTCCATTTATAAATTTCCTCTTGTTCTATGCTTCTTTCTCCGTTTCGGTTTGCAACCCTCCCAAATAAATGAAGTATAATAAAATAATAAATACTTAACACATTATAGGAAAAAACCAAACACCCGGGACAGGCTCAGAGGCCACCCAACCAGGCAGCAGTGCCAAACCGAAATACATCCCTTTCAAGACAAAAAGCCAGGAGGGGATCGATTATTCGATTATTAAGGATTCAAGGGCAACAGCGGGTAGAACGAAAGGAGGAAGACCCACAATAACAATACCACATTGGGATGTTCCGGCGCCTTTGTTATAACAATCCTAACAGTAAAGGCTGCGGACGGAGAAAGAAGCAGAAGAAAAACCGTGCCCTCCCAAGTTGCTTGATGACATAGTGAGGTACTCTAGGGAACAACATGAAAAAAGTCATGGGATGTGATGCAAATGTTCACCACACTATATGGGGAAGTACCGAATCAACAACCGAGGTGAGTCCTTATCAGATATTACCTTACTGTGAAGGGTAAAACATTGCTAACATAGGCACAGAACCCACCTTCATTACCCAATGCAGGCAAGAAGTCTTAGACAAGACCATTACTTTCCAAGGGGCCGATGAAAATATCTTAAACTGGAATGTATCCAAGGAGCCATCAAATTCTGGTCACAGGCATATCAGATTTGATCTGAACACTCCCTCTCCCCTAGAAACAACATACAGGAACACTAATTGGATAGGATTCAAAAGAACCCTCCAACAATCCTTACAGGGAAATGTAGAGAGAGAGGCCAACGCCACACTAGGCTCCTACACCGAAAACTGCACGGAAAAAGGAAGGCTAAATAAACATAAAACAGTCTGGTGGAACAAACACCTAGATAGATTGAGAGCTCGAGAAAGGACTTTATCCAACCGAGCCAAGGCCCATAATGAGTGGATACATACAGAAATGCCTTGACGGAGTACAACAAAGAAATCTGAAAAGCTAAAAAAAGTGGCGCAGATTTTGTGAGGAAATCACAGAGACACCTCAATGTGCCCGCATACACAGAACCCAAGCGGGAGGCGGGTAAGCGACCTCACCAAGACAGATGGAAGCTTCACACAAACGTAAGAAGAAACACTCTCTGTACTGATTGAAAATCACTTACCAGGAGC